GTTGACTGCCACATCAGACAAATTTAACGGAGTTGGACGGAGAGTGACCAAACTTGAACCATTTAACTAATTTGAGTGACCAAGATTGGATTTAAATATTTACAGTGACCAAACATAAACGTTTTTTGTAATCTCAGTGACCAACCATGCAATTAACCCAAAACAATTGATTTTGTTCTAAGCGGGGAAAATTGGAAGGCTAGATTATCATACCTTCTTGGCGAATTGCAAGTAAGAAAATCTGGTACGGCCTTTCCTAACTAAGTCATTCCAATCTGCCTACAAATCACCATCAATCTGGATCACACCATCTTCAGTTCTACCTTTCTTTCCTCGAGATTCATCCTTCTCCAGCAAAGAATTCATCGTAATAAAAACACAATGCCTTAATTCAGTTCTGCCAACGATGGAGAAAAGGGGAAAAAAAGAATGCAAATTGACGAACCATTAATTTGGAAGAACTTCTGGTCTTGCGTTTTGTCATCATCCTGCCGTCCTTATCGTTCTGCATATTGCTCCTGGTTTCTGCCCCCTGACCGAGCTCCTGTACTACTGTCCTGAATGAGCTCATGGTGAATGCAGAAAAGGAGTTAGCAATCTTGGAAGCTTGAGAGGGAAGGAGCACGACAAGGAAGGAAGCAAGAGGTCGACGACAAAGGAAATCAGCCGGTGTACAACGTGAACGGGTTGAAAGCAGGTTTCCGACCTTCTTATTCTTTCTTGCTCGACGGCGAGAGTGACAGGCTTCTTCTACGAGCTCGGCAGCAATAACGTTTGGAGTGGGCGAGCGGAGCAGTGCTGGTAGGATAATTATTACCTTCTTCCTCCTCGACGACGAAATCAGGCGACCTACGGCGACGACGGAGAGGGGAGTGCGAAGGCAGACGATGTAGAGAGGAGGCGACGCAGGTGGGTTTGGGCTTCCTTCTTCTGCTTCTACCTTTTCCAGCTTGGCTGGCGGCGACTGGCGGAGCAGAGATCGGAAGTCGCAAAAGCAGCAGAGCGATGGTCACCAATTTTTTAGTGATTGGGGTAAAATCGACATTTCATTGGGGTTTAGGGCGTAATATTTAAAAATCTAGGGCGATAAATAGAAATTCAGATCTTAAAATAGGGCCAACCGCCAACGGGTGAGTGTTTTTCTCTATAAGGATACTGGAAACTTTATCTTCCTCATTAACCTCCACATGGAAAAGGAAAATAATATTGTATACGGGTAATAATTAACATGGAAACAATCCGCATCCCCTATTTGGAAGTTGAATCTTCCATATATAACACACAAGCATTCTTCAGTAATTTTTTTTTCCCGGTAATTCAAGCATTCTTTATTAGTTGCATTCTTTATCCAACTAATTAGCTGCATTCTTTATCCAACTATTAAAATCCGCCACTTGTCAATCTGCAACAATTAATTAATTGCTTAATTCTTTCCTCAATTTATCTATTCCCAATTACCATCTTTGATACATCTCTCCAAATAATAATATAATAATACTAATTACTAACTAATTAACCCCTCTTTCTCTCTCGTGCTCCTTTTTCTTCTCCATCTCTACGTGCGGCCGGCGAGTAAAACTCCGGCCATTAAAATTTTCAAAGTTACAACAACAGCAAAAAGACCTCTGCTTTGTGCCCGATACAGCCCCTCCCCACAAAGTCACAAACAACAAAAAGACGGCACACCAATGGAGGAAGAGGGAGATAATATCAACAACAATGAAGACAGCGATGTTGAAATCATACCAGAATCAATGACCTCTGACAGCGATGGTCCTACTATACAGGAGGATGACACAAACGTTATTCAAAATTCTCCTTTTATCGGTCAGGAATTCAATGATTTTGAGGATGCATATGCGTTCTACAACAACTATGCTAAGAGTTGGGGGTTTTCTGTCCGTCGCTCAAGGAAGGTTAAGAACGTCAAGGGAGAGGTAACAAGTTCAGCCTTCGTGTGTTCTTGTCAGGGAGTTCGAGAAAAACATAAAGGTGCACAAAAGAGGGAGTCGCCTATGGAGATCAGATTTCAGTGCATGGCTATGTTTCGTGTGAGCTTGAACAAGACAAGCAATAAGTGGGTGGCTGATATATTTAACTCACAGCACACTCATGACCCAGTTAGGCAGAATCAGGTACATTACTTGAGGTCGCATCGAGGATTAACAGAAGCAGACAAGGCAGACCTCCGATTTAAAAAGGATGCCGGAATGAAACCTTCTCAGGCCATTAAGCTTGCTGTGCATTGTGCTGGAGGGCATGACAAACTTGGGTATACAGTTAAAGATGGGTTAAATTTCAGCACCAAAGACCGCGCTGAGAGAATCAGCGAGGGTGATGCAGCAACTGCACTAGCCTATCTACAATCAAAGAAAAGCACAGACCCACACTTCCTCCTCCGATACACTACTGACGAGGAAAAAAGGCTCCATTTTTTATTTTGGGCTGACAGCATTTGCAGAGCCGACATTTCGTGTTTTGGAGAGTTGCTCGCATTTGACACAACGTACCAAAAAAACATTTACAATATGCCACTGGTCATTTTTACAGGTACGCCATCCTAGTATGCCCTCTAAGTATTATGCTTTGCTTTGTTGTTTGAATACACATAATGGCATCTAGAAAACAACAAGTTTCTGATTATATGAACTCTACCATTATTTACATATTCCTACACAGTTTTAGCTTTTCTCCTGCTAGTTCAAAAGATTCTGATTTTTCCGAGTTTCTGTTTGACATTGTAGGTATCAACCATCACTTCAAAACTTGCTTATTCGGGAGTGCACTGTTGCCCAATGAGACTGACGAAACCTATATTTGGGCGTTGAAGATAGTGAAGGAAATGTTGGGGGACATTCCGCTACGTACAGTTGTCACGGATGGGGATAAAGCAATGAGGAAAGCTATTGCTAATGTGTTTCCAAATGCAACACATCGGCTATGTGCATGGCATTTGTCCAAGAATATCACTGGCAGGGTGAAGAATCGACCCGACTTTGAACCCCGGTGGAAGAAGTTAGTAACTGCTGAGTATGAGCCAGAAGAATTTGAGGAGAAATGGAATGCATTGGTAGAGGAATGCGAACTCCAGAACAACCAATGGGTTTCGAAAAAACTATTTGGGAGACGCAACGAATGGGCGGACACATACTTGCGCTCACATTTCTTTGCTGGGTTGACAACCACATCAAGATGTGAAAGCATAAATGCGGTTGTTGCAAGGTATGAAAATGAGAGGTTCTGTTTGCTTGACTTTTTCACTCAATACGACCGGTGGCTCAGAGACATGAGAGAGACAGAGATTAGATTAGATTTTGAGTCTAATTATGGTGTAGTTCCTATAAAGAATTCAATCCTAAAGCCCCTCGAGCAAAGTGCAGCAAAGCTTTTCTCAAAGGCTGCATTTCTTTTGTTCAAAAATGAGTTGGAGGAGGTTATTGGAGTCATTAAGGGTAACCAAACTGAAGAGGAGAACCTACACACTTACACTGTCACCATGTTCAACAAAGAGAAGGTCATAGAGGTGAAATACAACATTGAAACAAGCGATATGGAGTAAAGTTGTCAAAAGTTTAAGAGTATTGGGATACCCTGCGTTCATATGCTATTTGTTCTCAAAGAAGAAAAAGTGAAGACTATTCCTGAAAAACTGGTACTCAGACGTTGCTCGAAGAACCCAAAGTCCCTACACACTCTGCCAGAACCAAGTACATTGGGGGATGACAGCAGTTTCAACATTAGGTACGGGTCGCTACAGTTCATGGCTCAACGATTCTGCTTATTAGGAGCAGACACTCCTCTCTCTTATCGAATGGCTCAAGATGAGTTGACAGCAGCGTGTAACAAGTTGGAGATGGTAAAGAAAACCCCCGCCGAGAGAGAAAGGATTGTCATACCAGACCAGTTCAAAGATGTATTGAACCCAAATCAAGTGAGTTTTAAGGGTTGTAGGAAGGAAAAGGGATAAAACAACTTAAGAAAAAAAGAAGAAAGTGTGGGAACTGCGGGCTAAGGGATGGGCATTATAGGAGCACTTGTAAAAACCCCTAGCCGACGTGGTAGAATCTCAATCTGATGAGGAGGATGACGACGATGACATGGACGATGATGGGGACGATGATGTGGACGATGATGGGGATGACGGAGAAGATGGAGACGACGATGATGGAGATGATGACCAAGGTGGTCAGCCCCCAAAGGTAATTAGCATCTCTGGTTAGGTGTTCTTGATATAGTTATTAGTTAATAACCTACAGTTGTTATTTTGTTTTTACCAGAAGCAACGAACGAGCAGACATAATACTACTGGAGAGCCCATAGGAAAAAGTCAGCCACAACAGAAGGTTATATATCATTTGTTTATTCACTAAATTATCGATTTGTTAGAAATGGCTATTAGCTTAAGAGTTTATTTGCCCTCAAACAGATCGGGGCACGTACTAGGAGCAATACTAGTCAACAAGAGAAGGGAGCTAAGAAGCATACAGGACATAGTGCTGGGAGTACTAGTCGGCATGATGATCGTCCAAGCGATGAACATGAACTGGTACTTTTCCAATCACACTAATGATTTAACCAGCAAGATTAGATGATTCTTTGTGTTGGAAGTTACATGTTTAATATTATTTTTTCTTATTTTGGTCTGCTACAGAAACAACATCAGACTAGAACCCGTGGTGCAAAGAACAGAAGCATCAATAAAAACAAATGAAGTTCACTAGCATTTCCATAGCAAGAAGTTGAAACGCCCATGGAAAGCAATGACCACTTTTTATTGAGTTTACAATTTTATTATTGATTTTAGGCGACAAAATCTTTTATCTTGGTATATTTCACAAAAGTAAACTCCATCGACACTTCATATTTTTGTTGGACGAAGGGGTACATTGCGGGACATGAATTGTTTGCAATTGAAAGGAAATACCTGGCTTTTCTTCTTTGTTCTGTTGTTTTTTTTTTGTGTGTGAAGCAGACCTGGCTAGCTAATGCCTCACGGGTTGCTCCTCAATAAACTGTCAGCATAATAACAGGTAGATCTTTGAATCAGATGTTGAAGCCAAATATATGGAAACCCATTCATGTGTCTAACCAGTATAGCCGCCTAAAATTGTAACAGTTACATTGGAAATGCGTAATTTACCTCCAGTCTGAAGTGCTTTATCACGCCATAGAGGGTTCTCCTCAAGAAACTTCTCAAATGCAAGTATCTTCTGTGGTATTCCCTTAATCATATCGAGACGATCAACCCCTAGCATCACCTATTAAAGAGTAGGACGTTTACATTCAAGAATGAAGAAACTAAGCCAGTGACTTTTAATCAGTAGGTTGCTTTCTCTTAAGCAAGTAAAACAGCATATGTAGGTTAAATTCAGGTTAAACCTTACGGCCACGAAACCTTTCCATCAGTTCTTTTATGTGCTCCAGCACCTTAGGGAGCTTAAGCGCTGATATAACCCTTTCTGAATCTATTCCTATTGGAAACTGAACATACAGGAGAGTGCTACAATACTTGGTCTAGTAAGGGCTTACCCTACTAAATCTGCCGCGAGAACTGAACGAAGTAGCTCTGAGCTATTTATATGACTTTTATGTTCTATTTAGATTATTTTTATGTTCTGTTTAGAACCCATCTATCAACAAAGGCCAGATCTGTCAACAAACACTCGAGGCTTAGATACCTGTTTTCGATCCCCATTACCCTGCTTGTGCTGCTCCCATTCATGGCCTCCTCGAAGCACCTTAACTCCTCGAAGTTCCTTCAAGTTCCTCCTCCTCCCCCGATTCGCAAGCCTCAAATCAACATGAAAACAAAACGAAATAAAAGAAACGAGTTCAGAAACCCAAAGTTTGGACTCGGTAATTGGGGAGTGTCCAGTCATGTCCTGATTTTTATAGGAACTCAAAGAAACGAAATGAAAACTTGCATAGCAACTACCTGCAATCGTTCCTTAGGGGGCCTTTTTAATCCGAGGGAATGAGACCATAGCTGCCGCTCTTACCAATCCAGATTTGTTTTGTATGCATCTCGTGCCAAACAAAGAGGAAATCAATTTCTACCAAACAAAAACAAAAAAAGAGGAAATCAAAGAACTGAAAACGAAAACAAAAAATTCGGGGAAGGAAAAGGAGAAGGAAACGCGAGATTTCACTAACTCTTTATCTTACAGTTGGAGAATCTTCGCCTAACACAACCGATAGGAACATCCCCAAATCCACCAGGTTTCATCAACCGAGCAACTCATCGGCAGCTACGCGGAACCGCCGTCGCCAGTCGATGGAATGATTGGAATCGTCAACTCTCTCTCTCTCTCTTCTCGTCGGCAGAAACGCGGAACCGCCATCGCCTCTCTCTCTCTCTCTCTCTCTCTCTCTTAGATTGACGACATGCAAGATAGAATGAGAATGGGGGGTCAGAATGAAGGAAACGTTTCTGGGGGACGAATTCAAAAGACACGCAAATTTTTGGCGGAAAAAAAAGCGCTATTCTGAGAAGGTAAAAGCCAAATTTTAACAATTTTGAATTTTCTTTTTACGTTGCATTTTGCCGCTACCATGTACACTTTTTCTTACTCATTTTTGTAATGAAAAATTAGAGAATGGATGGTTATTACTTTTTTCAATTCACCACAAATAAAATTTATCATAGTTTCAATATTAAAATATGAAATTAATTTCGTATATAACTGATAGACCCAATATTCAACCAACATCACACAACCGTCACAAACCATTTTTAGGTGATCACAAGGAGAATAATGATAAAATCATATATATGTGTAAGTTAATGGTGTTGGTATCTACTATTGGTTAAAACATTGGGTTTGGGTGCTCTCCCCTCCAAAATAACCCCATCAAACCAAATTACATCCATGGAATGGTTTCTTAAAGCTAAACCCATGTGGATGGCGATTTCTATTTGCTTACCTCCAACCAAATGATGTATTAACACATCATCACCTGCCATTTTCCATGTGTACGAATTATTATGAGCAATTAGTTGATGGATGGTAATGGACCCCTTACCTGTACTATTCTTCACTCAAACCACCAATCATCAAACTTATCCAACCCTTTTAACTTGGATAAGAGGTGGAGAAAGATGGATGTGTCAACACCAACGTGGCCTTAGGCAAAAATGAGGTGGAAATTCTACCGCCCACCATTTACCACATACACATGAATTAAAAAGATCACTTTCCCATGCCTCCACATACAAAAGGCAAGGTGGATGGGTGTGTTATTTACTCTCAATTAGTTGGAATTTAGCAAGAGAGTTGGCCACAAAAAGAATCTCAATTCATCACTACCTACACTACTACACGTGCCCTGATGAGAAGAGATGTGGAGCAGGCAATTTTGATTATTGCCATCACAATAACATTTCCCCATCTTCCACATACTTATATACATGGCTTCTAGAGATTAATTAATGCTGGAGTTTTACAATCTTTTCTCCATTCAAAAAATGCTGCTCTCCCCTTAATTTTCGTCAAGGGTAATGTAGTCATTTTATTCCCTTGATTCCCCCACTTCCCGCCCAAAATCATTAGTGCAACTGCGCCATAATACTAATAATAGACAGTTTCCAGGCCTCCTCATTCAGCCTTATCTTAGGCCCATTAATAAAGCCCATTTAACTATTATCTCGGCCCATTATCGCATAAGGGGAATCGTCAAACAGGCGGTGGTTTCCGGCCGGTGGGCATCAGCGGAGCGGCCAAGCTGGAGAGAAGTTCGGACAGCAACGACCAACGACACCAGGTGTTATTATCTTCAAGCAAATTATAGCCTTCAGCGGATCAGCCATGCTGAAGAGAATTTCGGACTGGACGACGGCGGGAAGAACTCCAACATGACCTGGACAACTGAGCTGCTGCGACGGCGACAAGAAGTTCAGCATTACATATGTGTTTCATAATGCTAGGACAACTAAATTCCATACGAATGAGGTCCTAAATTCTAAATCTACTCAAATTAAACAAGTATATATATACATTCAACTATTTTAATTAATCCAAATGGGGTCCTAGGACCCCACTCCCTTCCACCTTCCTCCTACATCGGCCTAAACAAGAAACTATGGTGCATAATTCTTGATAAGAGAGCAATTTCAGAAACCACATCCTAAAATAGAAAGTTTGAATGTAATTCGGACAAAAATAAGGTATTAACCATTTTATAATTTAGTTACAATGTCATGATCCAAATTATATTTAAGAATATTTTATTTCTCTTTTGCAGGTTTTATTAACGAGGAAAGCTAAAACCACTTTGGCAGTTTTATTAAACAACATTGTATAACTTTCATGGTTTCCATTTCTATCACTAGCTTTGCTTTGTGTACCATTCTTATCATTAGTTGTGAAGTAAATTACCTTAGGGAAATAGCGGTGATTGTGTTTGACAGTTTGTAAAATTATAGATAGATTCGAACGACAACAATATAGGTTAAATTTTTGTTATATATAAATTTTTGTTGAGGTTATGAGTTTTCGACGAATTTAAGTGATATGATGAATTGACAATAATTTTCCAACATCTTAAATTCTAAATATTTATTGTAAAAAAAAAAGTAAACCATCTCTTCATGTGTGGTCAACCTTTGTCTCAATTACAATTTACAACCACAATAAGCAAAAGTGATGAATCTTGAATTTTTCGGCCAACGGGCCGACTCCAAGCTAGTTGTAGAAAGACACTAGGTAAATCAATTTATTTTATTTCTAATTTTATTTTGATATGTGTTTGATTGTAGCCATCCACCCATTGCACTCGGGTTGTCTGGGAGGTAACGTATTATTTTTATTTTATTACGAGCACACCATCTACGCCAAAAGCAGGAGGCACCTATAAATAAGACGTTCATAGTGACATGTATATTTGTCACAAATAATGTCAACTGTGGTAATATTTCTGACACAAATACACTTTTCGATGTCTAGTTGTCACAAATAATTACATGCTTGCACTACAAGAAAAAAGAGTTTCAGCTACCATTTTCTTGGCAACCATAGAAAAATGGTTGCTTATAACTAAGTTTCGACAACCATTCACAAAATAGTTGGTAATGCCAAACTCTAGTGCAACCATTAATAAAATAGTCGCTGGTAATGGCCAGTTGATGCCTTAGGAAACCCAAAAATGATGTGTCTAACACAAAACTATTTCTTCATTGCAACTTCCACAATTAGCTAACCCTGAAAATCCACCATCCCCCGTACATTCCATGCACTGCTATTGTAATGTAACCATCTATGTCATCATTCTTGGTGCAGCAATGATAATGCTTAAAGTGTTGGTTGGCAAACCACGTGGTTCTACATCCTCATCAACACTAACGACACAAATCAAACGTACCCCGCGGCAGAGCGCGGGCTAATTCCTAGTATATATCAATAGTCATAAAAGTATAGGATCGTTTTACTTTGTATGATTGTATCCCTTGATAATAACAAAATGGATAAGATACAAAACCCACCACTAAAACAACATATCTATAACTATCAGTGTTGTCAAGTCAAAATTGATTATTGTCTATTTTTTTCTCAGTTTATGATAATATCTCAAAATTAAAATTGGAAAGATAAGTGGCAGCTAGGCAGTAGAAAGAGAATGTGATGATTTCTTTTCCTTTTTCAAATTTATTATGTACCCAATTTCTTTTTCCCGTTGATTTAGTTACTTTTTTTGAACTTTTTAATTGAAGGAAGCATTAAACAGGCGTCGGTTTTTCTTTTCCATTGAAAAAGTAAACAAAAAAATGGACTAAACGCAAACTGCTACTTTCTGCCGTTTTTATGCTTCTGGGACCGGATCAATGTCCGGGTACGGTTTTTTTCGGGCTAACCAGCCGGTCCAGCCCGGTTTTCACATCATTGATAACTATACATTTTAATCACACCTAATGGTTCAAATTCATTTAAAAAAATATGGTCATCTCCCCATAAATCCCTTATTTCCCTCTTTACTGTTCTATGATATGGACCATTATATCTTTCCTTTCCAAATTACAACTATTGGATTAGATTTTGTAGGAATACAAAATCATGGTTTGTACGGTAACCTGCACCATATTAAGGGAATGGATACGGTACAAAATTCACCACTACAATACTCAATCATTTAAAAAAATTCCGTAGAAAGAATACACTTATTATGCACTACACAATTATTAGTCATACTGCCACCGGTCATTAAGTATTTTTAAATTCATATAAATCTAACTTCTAACTACAGTAGATTGCTGGAAAATAAGTAGAGTAATACATTCTGTACTTATATTATTGAGTTGAACAAAAGTGGCATGGGGGAGGTTCTGGAGAAAGTTCCCGTAGGCATTTGTTGCCGCAAGCTTATTTTATTTTGTTTTTTACTTCTCAGTAGTCAGCACACACTCCATATCACCTCAGTCCAATCTTAAGAAGCCCAAAGACCAACAAAAATATAGGCTTGGTCCACCTCATGGAACGATCTGTGTTTATGTAGTTGAGTATAGTAAAAAGACTGAGAGATCTTTCCGTATTATGCGCTGAGCATGGAAAAATAGAATGGGAGGGGTTTTGGAAGAGAACCTCTTTATATGTTTGTTAGGATATAAATTTGAGAAGGAAACTTATTAATTTGTTAAGTAAATAAGAGATAAAATTTGGTGCAACTAAAATCACGGCATATCTTTTCTCCTTCCCAATGTTGTTACACGGTTTAGTTGAAATTTGGGTTCATCTCTTTTTAATTCTTTAATATATTATTTTATTAATTATATATTATAATGATTATTTTTTGCAACACAATTTGGTAAAATGTTGGGTAAACTGTACTCATCTTGATCTTTGTGGGTTCATACGCAACCCTTGTGATTTATGTTGGGTTCACCCTTGATCTTTGTGTATCTGAGGCCATGTGAGTGGGAGGATTCATGTACCATTCAGTTGCTCAATTTCTGATTTCCTTTGATCAATGTAATTGGTTCTCGAGTTTTTTTTTTGTACAGTAATTGGTTCTCGAGTTGAAGTGGAATAAAGGATGACTTTTACTGTAAAAAAAAATAAAAAAAAGTTGCTCAATAAAGTAGCGAGGGAACCAAGGTACTTTATCGGGTATGGCAATCCTTTGCTGAGAAGATTAGTAGAACAGAGTCTTGTCTTTTCCAATTCTGTGCGGACGCCAAGGGGTCGTGATTGGCTGTGTTTTTCTGCAGCTCGAGGCGACCAATTTCTTTGTTAAAGAGTTAAATCTTTCATTTTTGCTACCGCTATATATTATGCTCTTAGGAGTTTTACCCATTCCCTTTCTCTTTGTGGTTCAAATTGATGTAGAGCATATTCTCATATCCGCCAAAATTCTTAAAATCCCCCCGCTTCCATCCGTGTCTTCACCTGCAATTCTGCAAATTTCGACGTCGAACCCATCTTCTTCGTGGATCGCCCAATTCAAACCGGGCGAGCGGGTCGAGATCAGCTCCAACGACCCCGGGTTCCGCGGCTCCTGGTTCGCCGGCACCGTCATCCGCCGCGAGGCGAATAACCCTAATCGCTACGTAGTCGAGTACGACCAGCTCTACGAGGACGAATCTGGGGAGAAGCTGCTGCAAGAAACCCTCGATTGGATCCAATTGCGTCCGCCGCCGCCGCCTCCCGAGAAGAAGAAGGTCCAGTTCAAGTTCGGCGACGAAGTGGAGGCCTTCCACAGCGACGACTGGTGGGAAGGGGCTATTACTGCGGAGCACTCCGGCGGGAAATTCGCGGTGTTCCTCAGAGGCTCAAAGGAGCAGATTGTGTTTGAAGAGAAAGATTTGAGGTTGCCTGTTCAGTGGGTTAAAGGGAAGTGGGAGCCGCGATTCGAATAGGTTCAGCGGGAGAAAGAGGTGAGCTAATTCGATTTTATGACTTTTCCTGCTCCGTTGCTTGGTATGACAATTTTAGGGAATTCTGAATCTGGATCTAGGTGATGAAGTTCACTCAAGGAATGCAAGTCGAGGTGACAACTGACGAGGACGGTTTCAAAGGTTCTTGGTTTGCTGCAAAAATTATTGAACCTTCTGGTGAAGACGAGTACCTTATTGAGTACAAAACCCTGACGAATGATGATGATACTGAGTTTCTCAGAGAAGACATTCGTGCTTGCAACATAAGGCCTTGTCCGCCGGAGATCATTGTTGTGGATGGATTCAAGGTGATGGATGAAGTAGATGCTTACTACAACGAGGGCTGGTGGGTTGGCGTGATTGCAAAGGTTTTGATCAACTGCAATTACGTGGTTTACTTTAAAGAGTATGATGAGGAGATAACGTTCAAGCATGCTGATTTGAGGACACATCAGGACTGGTTAAAAGGCAAATGGGTTGTTCCTTCAGAGGTCTGAATTTTATGCTCTCAATTCTCAAAACACTACTAGCTTTTCTAGTAAATGATATTAGTTGTAGGGGCCTGCACTCAATGCATCTCTTTCTATTGTGTTTCTTTTCTATGGGATTATGTAGCTCAAGTTTTATCCTCCTTCCAGTATTATAGTTCCTTCCAGTAATATAGTTCTGAATTCTGATGCCTTTTTATTTTGCCCAGAGGAAAAATGAAATAAGATGGTTCCGGCAGGGAATCTCCTTATATTGTTTGGGAGGATTTAATCAGAACAACCCAGTACATAAAAGGCAACAACTATGCCCACTGAGTAATTATTATTTTTAGAAACCACTGATATGATTCATTATAATCAAGAATCAACTGCCTCAAAGGCTACAACGTCAGCTACCCTTTTTGGTAGAACATTACAATGAAAATTACAACTGACTCTACCACATCGGGCCAATTTCTTTCTCCTTCACTAGTCTGACCCCATAGAGAATAGCGATTCCTCCTTTTGGCCTCACTTGACATAATTCTTCAGGGGTTTAACTCCTGCATAGACACACCAAAAATAGCGTCATTCACAATACAGGAAACAAAGTCAGATGGAAGCTTGGGACCACAACAAAGCATACAAATCCTACTTTGGGTACTCATATGGATAATGTTCTTCTCGCATGTAAGATTCCATCCTTCCCTTCACACTCCCCATGGCAACGACGTGCACATATAATGAAAGAAAATCGACAAATCAAACAAATGATATTCTTAAAGCAACATATAAAAAATGAAATTTTTTTAAAGTATATGGTCCAGGTTGAAATACTTCCGCAGACCACATATTACTATCATACACTTTCTTGAAGGGTTCAGGAATAAAGGATACCGTAGTTCCAATGGTACATATTCAAGCTAAATAGTAATGGGGCATTCCTATGAATGAAGCACTCCTACATAGCTGCAATACATTCCAGAATTACTATATCATCTACTCTAGTACCCCTCAAGAAAGCGTATGACAGCAATCACATTATCTGCGCAAGCCTCACCAAATATTTCGCATATACATGTGTTCTCAAATGAACATTTGAAACTGGAAGGAAATAAAATGATACCATCAAAATTGTGATAGAACCAGAGGTACATAAACTATCTCCCGAATCCAGCAGTGGCCTTCACAACTCTGCAAGCTATGAATTTTCTAAGTTGAGGGATTCGGACCAACAAAGAAACAACAGACGAAACAACATTATAACGAAACCAACCTCAAATCTTTCAAATCTCCTACAGCCTTTGCGAGTTTCTTCCAAAATGTAGGAGTCAAGTGGCCAGAAAAGAACCTCCAGATGGAATATGGTTCCACAATATTTATTATGAACACTCCAACTACATCTTATGTTCTTCTCCGCCCTTTGTAGACACATCTACATGTTGGGACTGGCCGCCGAACTGCCGCCAACACAACCTCATAAAAAATAAAAGAAGATCAATAAAATGGATTGGATTAGGTAACTAGTCTCCAAACTCAGTTATTAGCTAACACACATGAGGGAAAAACTGAGATTTGGAATCAAATTAATACAAACCGTGTCAACAAGCTACGAGCCAGATATACTTACAAGTTTACAGAACGAACGTTATGAAAAACCGAACTCCATCTGATGATCTTCTGCGCTGTCCTTACAAGTTTACATGTTTTCATTCTCACAGTACCATGCCTCTAGCCCAACGCACCCCGGAAACCAAAAAAACAAAAACAAAAACATACGAGGGGATTAGGCTACTGGAGTCAGGCCTTCATTAGCTACCAGGAATAAGATCAAAAATCTATTTGAGTAAAATACGAACCTTCCTCCTTGCAGTTGTCTCCCCGACATCAATCTCCAAATCGTCACCCATTTCGCGCCAGAGAAGAAGACCCCTCACAACGAAGCGAGAGCCTGGAGGCAAGTAGAGGAAGGAATGAAGAGGTAGGTGGATAGGATTTTTTTCCCTTTGGGTTCAAGGCGAAAGAGGATTTTTTCCCTTTGGGTTCAAGGCGAAAGAACAGAAGTGATTGAGAAAAATGGGAGGGGGAATGTTTAATGAGCGACGGCTAGGGTTTCATCTTGGTTATGGTGGAAAGGAGGGAGCAGCTGGATTGGGGAGCATATAAGGGGAAAATGGAATTTACGGTTTGGATTTCCAAAACCAATGCGCGTGCCGCGTGGGAGAGAAGGGCTGTGAATGGGCTGGGCTTGAGAACACATGGCTAACATGCATTGTTTCCTTTTTTTTTTCCTACTAACATAACTAGCACTGAATCCGGCCCGTTGACCGGGAGAGATTAGACCAAAAATATAGATACAATAATAGATTTAATAGATCCTCGAAAATGCATGCAATATCTTTCTATACATAATGTACTTAGAATATAACTAACAATGTAACCTATAATTAGACTCATCAAGCGGTCAATGCACAATTAAATAAATACTGTGATCTGAAAATTTGAGGAAAAAGAACAATCAACATTTTATACATCAACTTATCTATTGAAAATTTGTATCATATTGCTACCTTTTAAATTTTGATAAGTGAAAATTGTAAGGTTAGTAGAGGTGGCCAAGGAATATATTTTACAACTATGTGTAACTCATACAAATATGAAGAAAAATAATGTACGGCAACATTATTTTCTTACATTAGTTAGTATTATATTCTAGCAACACATCCTTGAAATAACATTTTTCTTACATAAATTATCAAAATTCATTCATTTATCCTTTATATACAACATATAGCATAATTTTCACGTTGATGTGAATGTGATTGTTTTTACTTCATATGAAAACCACCTGTCATCCCAAATTACCAAAAGCCTACAAAAGTACAAATTAAAATGGAAAAAGAATGATCAAAGAAAAAAGATAGTAGAGGTAGCCAAGTGGCATCCTTCCTCTTCAACGTGTACAACATGCATATATTTAATTTACTGCATCCCCTGATTATAGTATGGAAGGTCCTTCAAATTCTCACTCTCTCTCCAGCTCTCATTATCTAGCTTCTCTTCTCACCCATCCTCGGCCTTATTCACTCATTCAAAATGCTGAAGGGGGGAAGGGAAACCCGAGATGGGATGCGGGAGGTGATGGTGTAGAGAGGAAGGCCCAATTCGGGCCCAAATTGGCGGGGTGGATAGCCCGGCTGACACAACAACAGAAGGTCTGCATATTAAAACGCACAACAGCTGTAAGTTTGGGATGGAATTGTCACAAATACCCTTCCGTGAAACGCTCTCCTGCCACCAAATTCAAAATACTGAAAAATGAAACCTTGTTTTGCCTTTATATAGTTTGTAGATAGATAGATGTAGACTCGTTTTTAAACAAAAAACAGGGAGGGAAAATGGGCCAATGGGGGATGGTTAGTTGGTCCCTATGTAAACAATGGGAGTTTCTTAAATCAATTTAATTTCCTATAGTTTAACACGTTGTAAACAATGAGAATACCAAGATCTGTTGAAAACGTTGTATGTCATAAATTAATCTTGTATTACTAACCACGTTGTGTTAGAATTAAGCGTTGAAATGTTGCATTTTACAATTGTTGAATACGTAAACACCCTACCGGCAGTGGCTGAGCCACCTCTTGAGGAGAGGGGTCATAGGACTCAGTTGGGAAAAAACAGGGCAACAAAATTCTTCAGATATGTAAGGTTTAATATGATCCTTTGAATTTAGGACCTCATACTTTCGTTCATGTTAGCTCATCTAAGGACACCAATTAACTCAAACTTCATTAGATAAACGGAATTTTGCATTTTGAAAATAAAAAGGAGCCCAGTCAATTTAATGTATGGCTACCACACTCCCTACGACATACAACTCTACCAATGTTAGTATGACAACAACCATAAAACACAATGCTTGCTTTCGTACACAATAATTCAATTCTATTCAACAACTTATTTGGGCGACAAATGATCCCCAATTCGCATTACACTACATATCTAGGATCCCAAACCAGCCTTCTTGAAATTTGAGCTAACCTTGCTTCGAGTAGGAAGACATATCCATTGTATTGATTTTCATATTATCAACCCTCTTGCCTAAACTACCTTGGATATGTTTATCATCTGTTGCACGATTTTTGTGACAATTAGGGTTAGGGAGATGACTACAAAAGTATCGTTGTAGCGCATCTTTCATAGATTCAAGTTGGCTAGTTTAATTTAAACTAAAACTATAAGATTTTATTAGATTATGATTATGCTCAAGTAGTAGGCGAGGCCATTTTGCCTGGGGATACGTCCTACGTCGACCACTATACCACGCCAACTATACTACGACGCAAAATCCCTTAGTGTTATTATGGATCGAGATTTATAATCTTTAAGGATCCAACAACCTTGACCTCAATCTCAACAGTCACGATAATGGTTTGAGATATTATGTATAAACTAAAAAATTAAATAATTACTACGCCAAATTAAAGCCAGTGAATGTCATTTGGCGTAGCGGAA